GGAGGCAGCCAGCACGGAGGCAGCCATCATGGGAGCAGTCAGCACGAGGACAACTACCACGGAGGGAGCCAGCACGGAGGCAGCCAGCACGGAGGGAGCCAGCACGGTGGAAGCCAGCACGGTGGAAGCCAACACGGTGGAAGCCACCACGGAGGCAGCCACCACGGAGGCAGCCACCACGGTAGCCAGTATGGCCACGGTGGTCAATCATTTCACGGTCACAACTACGGTCATGGGAGCAGCCACAAGCACCACTAGGAGCACTGTCCAGTAATTGAAGTGTATGAGAGTAGAGTGTGTGTAATTTATTATAATTTATAATTGAATGTGATACGTAGTCAAGAGTAAAAGTCTGACGGTCCACATAATATTTAGATGGTTGTGTGGGGGTTACCTTTCGAGTCGATCTAATCTGAAGCAGCCCATTCACTATTGGCAGAGCGGGAAAACAGTAAAACGTTGTCGTTTTGGTGGAATTTACTTATCTTTATTAAAGCACTACACAGTAGTAGTAATATGATTAGCATTGCAGCGGTCAATTCGACGCCTATGCGTGCCAAGGGTTGTCACTCACATGCAATCGTTGGCACGGGCGCGCCGACTCAAGCGGCACAAAGAAGCAGTCTTGATCGTGGTCGATCCCGGGTTGAGGTGAAGAAGGGCCCGCGGAGGGCGCTGGTGCATTGTTGAACAGGGGTAACTCAAGTTGTTGGAAAGGTGCGGATACGTTGCGTCTACCACCATCCACCACGGCGGTAGCCACCGTAGCCGCCCCAGCCGTAGCCGCCCCAGCCGCCATAGCCCCGGCCGTATCCGCCGCCGTAGCCGCCCCAGCCTCCGTAGCCGCCCCAGCCTCCGTAGCCTCTGCCGTAGCCTCCTCCGTAGCCTCCCCAGCCTCCGTAACCTCCTCCATATCCGCCCCAGCGGTGGCGGCCGTAGCGGCTTTCGGCCCCTCCCAGGAGCTCTCCCTCGGCGTCACCCTCGGCGGAGACGACCAGCGGGCGTCCACCGGCCTCGTTTTGTAGTGCAGGGTCGACGACGGTGCCCTCGCGGACGGCCGACTCAGCGGAAACGACGTCAGCAGCCTGGTCCGCGGGAGCCAGGGCGGCCGCCACAGGGATGGCGGGGGCCGCGGGCTCGTCACCGGCGGGCATGGCCACGCAGCAGGCCGCGGCCAGGAGGGGCAGCAGCACCTGGACAAGTGCACGACGGCGATCAGCACAGGGAGGGACGGTGGGGACCGCGGACGCCAGTTGGGCTGCCTACCTAACGGGCGCACCCGAAGTGGCGCCGCGGCACTACACACTCAATGTGCACGAAAACAAGCGACAATTAAGCCGGCCAAGCCGTGCACTCTCTTGAGTCGAAGAGGAGGTGATAGTGGCATCCCTCTGTACATTGAATTCTACTTTGACCACCCCGCCCATCCTGGTTCAGAGACCCCCACGACGAATAATATCTCACTCACCGTGAACTTGAGCATGGTCTCGGTCCGGATGGACTGCGTGTGTGGCAATGGTCCCGGATCCTCTGAGCTGGCAGAGGCCCCAGGGTGCCTTTATACGAGCCCGTCAGGTCCTGCAAGGAGGAACGTCGTGCCCGCTCGCCTCCCCTCCCCTCCTGCCCGCCGCTGCTTCAGTTTAACGCCATTTTTGTTTATTTTCACATTCTCCTGGTCTTGCCCCCTGCTCCTTCTCCTCATTCTCGTCCATCCCCGGCGGCGGCCAAGCTAGGAGCTCTTGCAGGTATAATGAATGATAAAACAAAGAAGACGCACTTCTACGTGTGTGCGAGCGCGCGCGCGCCGTTTTCTGGAGGAAAGGGGGGAAAAAAGGAACGAGTCACTGCGGGAGGAGAGCAGGCGATACCTCAATACTATCTGCAGTCGAGTCATTGGCCTGGCCAGGATAATGTAGCCTTTTGTTCCAGCCAAGCGTACCCTGATTAAACCACGCGTTATTTTTCCTAACCGCGCAATGTCTAAAAAACGTTAACAATTCTTCTTAACTGCTAAACGAACCCACGGTTAGAAAAAAGTAATCGCTTTTGTTTGTTGTATCGAATGTGGTTGATGCGGTTTTTTGCGTTGTATCTTTGTGCACTATGTTTTATACGTTTTATAATTAAACACTATTTTTTGCGTAGGCGCTGGACAGCGCGGGCAGGGAGCCGACTACTCCGAGAGCAATGTGTTCATTGTTAGGCTATTACCCAGACGCGGTTCGAAAATGCAACAGGTGAATCTTGACAACAAAGAAGTGTTGTGATAACAGTTGCTTCGTATCGTAAACAGTGTTGGGAATTCACAAAATATTTTTAACAATGAGTTTGGAGCCCAAGATTAATACTACAGCACGTTTACCACGCGAAAACAGTTTGTGGCAAAGTGTCGCATAAAAGTAAAATGTGTTCTTTTCCCGCAATATATTATTTTTACTGCTGCTGCTGCACTGTTTGCGTCCCGGCTAGAGACAGTCGTCCCACTCATACCCCCGCGGGGGCTTCCCTACCGTCACTCCGACTCACCGGTCAAACGCAGCCACGCCGCAATTGCCCCCCCCCCTTTTTTATCACCGCTCCGCCTCCGGTGGGTTCATTGACAATGAGGAGAATGAGCTCACCGGCCGGGCTGCAGCAAAGCGTTATATTAATATACCATTTCCTGCTTGATGGATATTTGCGGGGTTGGCGAACCTGTCGGCCGCATCTCATAAGGCGCCCTCTCTGACGCACAACGGTCGCGGAGGAAGGGTCCGGCGCGGCGGGGCGGGGTGAGGCAGGGCGTGGCGGGGCGTGGTGAGGTGGGGCCCTGCAGGGCGTAAGACCCCCGGCACGATCCGCACATTACTGCGAGGCGACCAATTATTATTATTATTGAGAGGCAGATGTGTAATTTTTTATTTTTTTTGGAGACGAGGAGCAGTGACTCCTCTCTGACCGTTCGGTTCGGGTGATCCGCCATCAAACCCGCTCGGTCCATTGCCGTGAGAACCTGCGGGGCGGGGCCACACGCTGTGCCTTTCGTCCTTCGACCGGTCCTCAACCTTTGTCCTTCCCTCAGCAGCCCTTCGATTTTTCGGCGAAGTAGCAGAGAAGACGGAGCATTAGCATCTTCACCAACAGGACAGGAGGACCAGTTAAAAAAGAGCAAAAACAGGAAAAGACAATATTAGAATAATGAAACTGCAGAAATGTGGGTAGAACTGTAATGAAAACTTGGATGACTTTATCATTCGTAGTATAGGATAGGACCTAGAGCCTATAGTGCTGGTGCTTATAGCATCACAGCTTTGTTATGGTAACAACCTGGGTTAGAACCACGCATCAAGTGAGAAGACTCTTTCCCGACTACGGATGAAAACGTGCACCCAGCCCAGCATCCCAATTTCAAATACCCACAGACTAAAAAAGGTACCATATTCCATCGACACTATATGTCTGGTAATTTCAGCCATTGAGTTGGTGGGCTACATGTTGCTCTCAAATAATGATCCACCAAAGCTCAACCTCACGCCCAATCCCAACCTGCTCGATCTACCTTTAGCATTCGCATGGGGTACCTCCTGAAAATATTCATTTTCATTTACGCCCTTTTGGCATTTCATTTTCATCTGTAAACACAATGTACCACAAAATCCACGACAAAGTCAGTTCTCAAAGTTCACTGCTTAGTCTCTCGTTTGCTTGTGTTTCTCCGCTGGTCAGTCATGATGCTGGGCGATGCTCGCACCAGCCTGTTAATGTGGCTCATGACGATGCGTTTTACGAGGGGGCGGTGGACATGAGGTCAGTGTCGCTCCGGACGATCCCCGATGGCGAAGGTGACCGCATTAAAGTCAAAACTGTGGACTCGACGGAATGCGACGGATCTGGAAACGCTAACATGTAGGCCTCGGGCGGTGACAAATACAGTCAGTAACACACAAAAAACAAAATAAAGCGCGGCAAAATACACGGCGTGGTTTTAAGTTTAAACATAATACTCTCCCTCGAAGTACATCATCAATTTTAGAAACGCGCATACGCTCGCAGTTTGTTAAAATAGAGACTGTCTAATAATGGCTGCCTGGCCAATACAATGTAAAATGGGCTGCGCGTCAGCCCGGCGCAGCAGTGACGGCAGGGGCGGCGCGCCAAATGGGTTGCCTATGCAGCCGGCGCGAGTGGGCCTACGTCATCACTATACCCCGCGCGCTGACGCAGATACCCCGCAATGTCAGGGACTCCACACTGCCCCGGAGCGCGCAGGGGGATACTCCATCAGAAAAAGGGGTGCGATGCGTTGTGTGTGAAACCTTCTTTGACCACCACGGAGTTTGACCTCACAAACACAATCACCAAGCTTCTGAAAACGCAGTGTTAGTGTCGTCGCTTGCATGGTATAAATGGTACGTCAGTTAATACTATAAACTACAGAAACGTAGAATAATTGCACGCAGTTTTTTTGTTACACATGTTAAAAACAAGATCGTGTTGTAAAATAAAATCTGACAATCACAATCTCCTATCGATGTCATCATGCCCCAATTAAGCGTAACGTAACGCACATGTGATTTCCTATACATGTGCACTTTAGAGTGCGCTCAACAATGTCCACACCTGCGTCCGCACTCTTTTCCTGGCCCGAGCGTGCAGCACATGTTTATTACCAGCTACGCGACCGAACTCCTCTGAGGCCGCACGTGGGCCTGCACATGTGCGCCCAGTGATTGGACGCCAACACTTGTGTGTGACAATGATGATGATGAGATGAGCCGAGTGGCGTGACGCGGGGTCACCTCCCGCGGCTCCGCGCGCATGCGAGCCATGCGACTGCACTGTGAGACTGTGCGGAAGGTGTAGTCGAAAGCAGATCATAGCAGGGGCATGATGACTAACGATTTCCAGCATTAACCGACATCGCGACAGTGTGGTGGCACGTTGAGTGCGGCGTGACCCTCACCGCGCGGGTCCCAATAACATAGGATTGCCATAAGGGGCCGTTCACAAATTACGTCACGCATCTGACGGGGGGGAGGGGGTCTCTGCCCGCGTGACGGTCCTATCCTGAAAGCATTAGAAGGTGAGGTTAGCCGCGTGACGTGGGGGAGGGGGGGAGTCAAAACCGCTCGAAATTTGCGTGACGTCATTTGTGAACGGCCCCTCCCTGCCGCACGTTGTGAATCTCACCGTAAGCAACAGCAAACCCTGCAGCACTGTAGCTTACGGTCAATTTTCTCCGAAGTGAATATTACTGTAAGTTACAGTGATGCACCCTAATTCACCGTATGTAAAATTACAATAACTTTGTATCGACTTGAAACTCAGTGAGGAGCATAACAGGTCCGTCGTAAATTTACAGCATTATTTTGTAATTCCAAATTACAAGAAATGTAACTTTACGACGACGAAAATTTTGACAGTGTACGGTGCTCCAGTGTCGCTGTAGCTAGTGGTGAAATTCACCGTAAGCACTGAACAGTGAACGGTTCCGCACTTTCCACTCCTTCCTGAGTGTGTTCTAAAAGATTTCCTGTTCAAAAGTGACCTGGGAATGTTCAAATCACTGTAGGTTGGTCATTTCGGGTGATAAACAATGTCTCCTCCTTCTTTCGTTTTTGGCGTGGTGCCTTCATTACTTTAGCCATGATAACACGCGCACAACGTGCCGCATCCCCTGTAGTAAATTAAACAATGGCAGTCGCACCTTTGCAGGAGTGCTAGGGAATGTTAAGTTTAATGCTTCTATAAAGGCATATTAGAGCTAAAATTGGGTGCTATTCACAGTTTCAATGCCTTTGTAAAAAGATATCTTTTTACATCTTTTATAATAATTAAAGCCTTAGCACTTTTTACAGGTGTGACTTGACAGCTTTGTTTTTGCCGCGGTTTTGCAGTGTAGAGCACGGCAAGAAGGCAACCATCTTTAACACAACAACCCCATTCTTGCAACGCGGTCCAATTGGTCCAGACAGACGGGCAAGCAATCCCGACTGTGCCGACACACCGCCGCCACCGTCAATGCGAAACGAAACACAATCGCGTTATCGTTTCAGTACGTGAGACGAGGCAAGGGAGAGAAAGATAGGAAGCAGCGGCCCCGCGGCAGCGCCAACTCAACCGACCGTGGAAGACGGCAGCTCAAAAATTAGAAGTTCCATCGCGGGGGAGGCGCGCTGGGTGTGGGGGCCCGCGGGAGAGAAAGTGCTCATTTGGCAGGATGCAAATGCACTGCTATTGGCGGCCCGAGCCGAGCGGCGTGGTGGGAACCACTCGTGAACAAACGACTACAACTAAATCAAGTTCTAGGGCCTTTCTTCTTTTATGGCGTTAAGGACGGCATTTGTATAGGATAGTTGTATTGTAACATAAAATAACTATCGTAATTTCCATAATACACCGCTTTCACTAAATATAAGAATTTACTGAGTACTCGGGAACGACACTAAGAGTTATTCAGTTATTCGGCGTTTAAATCATTCGAATAGCTGTACAAAAACGCTCCTCCTCGGCTGTCCCTCGCTGTATTTTTGTAATCATCTAAACAGTTTTGTGGATGTGTAAGGGAAAGGGGAGACGGCGCAAATGCAAATCGAACGTGTGCGCCAGGATAAGAG